GGGAGGGTGAAGTCATGGAGACGACAAGTCAACGAGAGTTTCTTCTCTCAGCTTTTACTGACGATGCAGCTGTGACACACACACACACACGTGTGTATTTATATCCTTGTGGGGACATCTCACTGACATCATGCTTCACCATCAAACGTGAATCCTGACCATAAACAACCTAATCGTAACTAAAACCACATTTTGAGTGGCTTTCAAACTCGTGGGGACCGCAAAGCTGTTTGTCCCCACAAGTATAGTAAAATACCAATTTTTGGACCCCACGAAGATGTTAATACCCGTACACACACACACACTGGTTTCTGAGGCTACGTCGGGCCTTCCTCCTGATCTTGACCCCCTTTGTTTCCTCTGCAGGACTCTGATCAGGTCTGCAGACCCCATAGCGTGGAGCGGGACCCCACGCCTCTTCACCCCCTGCCCTGTGGGCGTGGCCTGATGAGGAGACACCTGAGCTTGCCTCTGTTCTCGGCCTTCTCAGAGTGCTCCACGGACTAAAAGGAGAAACGTGAGGACAGACGGTGATCGTGACGGCAAAGACGAACACTGTCCACCGCACGTTTCTGGATCACTTCCTGTGATGTAATCTCCCAGAGCGGACAGATCTGCAGCTCGGCTTCCTGTCTGCGCTCGCTGATGGACTCCTGAAGCCGTTTGCTCTGCAGACAGACAGTTGTGGACCGTAGAGCCCTGAGACCTCCCACTCCGTAAATAAAACTGATTCTGTGGATTTCTGAGTCTGATCTTTGACTCCTGCTGCTTTCGGCGTCTCGCTGAAATAAAACGTCAGCGCTTCAGTTTATTGTCCAGCTCAGCTGGGACACGTTTATCCAAGAGTAAAAAATAACAAACATCCACTTTGGGACAAAACTGAAGTAAAAAAATAAATAAATTTTGAACTGCAGGCGACATTCAGCTCCCGTGGATCCGGTGCAAAGATGTTTAACTGCACATGTAATCCTGAAATATGATCACGTGATTCCTGCAGCCTCATCATGCAGCTGTTTGTCTGCGTGATGAGGAAACACATTTATTCCTGTGTTGCTGAGTCGCTCGGGTGTCATGAGGAGTTTTTATCGGCAGGAAAACAGATTAAAGACCAAAATTTCTGCCTTCCTCCGACGCCTCAGCGAGCCTTATGTTTCACACCCCTACCATAACACAGTGTGCTCTGCGACCCCCTGGTGGGCTGTGATGGTACTGCAGGTGATCCCATCACTTATTTACAATAAATAAATTTAAATTGAACAAGTTAAAATTCTTAATTTTCCTAAATTTAAGTGGAAAGAAATCAAATTTCAAATTTCTGCTTTTGTGACGTTCATGTCGTAGCATAAACACATCAGCTGCTCCACGCTTGAATCACGCAGACTCACTGGGATTGGCTCCAGAAACTCAAATATTTTTGTCTTTATTGATATTTTAACAGGAAGTAGTGACACAAAGGCACCGGGTTTAAACCCGACTGACTTCCTGCTGCTCTTCTTCTCTGCCCTGTTTGGTTTTTAATGCTGAACTCTGAATGCATCACAGCGAGACGTCCACAACAAGCTCCAATCAGCCCGATTTATGACTTCATTCAGGTTTCATTCACTGTAAAGTTATAAGTTGTTTCGAGCATCACACAGTTTGTCTTTAAACTGGTCTCAGATCAGCGTTCAGCGACTCCACTGCGTCGTTTTGGCTCCACGTTTCTCTTTAATCTCGATTTTTTTAAAGTGAAAACGCTCCAGAAATGAAAGTTCATC